GGCGGAGCCATGCACCCGGCACCTGAGCGTCGCAGAATTACGGGGTCGTCTGCGCCGACATTGGCGCGTAAGCTGCTCGCGTAAGGTCGCGCGCAAGCGCCCTCGTCTACAGCGCAGCGTACCGCGCTGGCGGTCCGCGTAGGCCGCCGCGCAAGGTCGCTACGTTATCTCGCTTGATCGGCGCCCACCCGGACGACCCCTGCATGGGTGCGTCTTGTCGGAGGGGGGCCCGACAGCCCGCACCCGGACGTAAAGCGCGCCTGTAGCGCAGCCTCAAATATTGCGAGGCGCAGTTCGGCCCCGCTGCGGGTATGGGGGTGTATTGCCCGCTCGTCATCAGTCCGTGAGCCCCGCCCAGATCGACGAGGAACACAAAGCATCATGAGCATACGGCGGAGGCCCATGCCAAGAAGCACCCTGCCTGCGTCCAGGGTGCCCTGGGCTTCTTGGGCCTCGAGGGTGTTGCCATGGGAGGCGCGACGTTCCCACGCCCAAAATCAGTGGACGTCCTGGGGTCTCAGGGTTGGGTTTCTTGCCTCCTCCTCCTCCTCCTCCTCCTCCTCCTTCTCCTCCTCGTCTCTCCTCCTCCTCGTCTCTCTTCCTCCTCGTCTCTCCTCCTCCTCCTCCTCCTCCTCCTCCTCCTCCTCCTCCTCCTCCTCCTCCTCCTCCTCCTCTCTCCTCTGGAAGGTTTCTTGTGGACTGGCCCCCGCTGTACACTTTCGGGAGGTCCGCGCGGATTTCCCGGGCCAGCGCGGGACCGCCGCCCCTGGCAGAGGGGGTCCTGCGTCGGAGCTCTCACAACCCCGTCCTTGAGGACTGTCCTTATGGGCTGCGGCCAAGAGGGGGGCGATGACTGTTTTTTTGGGGGGGGTGGATCTCGTGGCAGGGGCCGTGACTTCGCCCCACATGTCATAGCGCCTCTTTTTTATCTTCTTCTTCTTCTCTTCTTCTTTTTCTTCGTCTTCTTCATCTTTTTCATCGTACTCTTCTTCTTTCAATGCGTCCCCCCTCTTCTTCCTCTTCTTCCTCCTCTTCTTCGTATTCCAATGCGTCTTCTTCTCTTGTTATTAGTCTTCTCTTCCTGTTAAGATTATTATTATTATTTTTATTATTATTTTTATTATTATTAGTATTATTATTTATTCCTCTTCTCCTCCTTCTTTCAATACGTCCCCTTGCCCCCATCCCTGGGCCGCGCACGTGCCTGGGGGGCCATGACTTCGACCCCCCCCCCATCTCCTGGGACGCCCCCGACGTCTCACATCCTCTGCGTCGTTTGGTGCGGGCCCCCCTGGGCTTGGAGACGGCCCGAGGACCCCGAAGACGGAGGGAAGACGGCGGGATTGAACAACAACGGGACTCTACCTCCTGGATCGCTTCGGTGCGGGCCCCCTTGGGCTGGGAGAGGCGGCCCGAGGACCCCCGGGGCAGCTCTCGGCGCTGGAGCCGGGCACGGCAGGAGTCTCTGGAGGTCCCTGGGAGGGCCCCCGGGGGCCAGCATTAGGTCGGGCGTGTCCCCCTACAGGCGGATTTCGGACGGAAAAAAGAAAACTATCCCAAGCAAACGGCTAGAAAGCTAAAACATATCAAACATCGTCCTCAGGCAATTTCATATTATTTTTGAATAATCCTCCTACCTGTCGGCCATTAGGTCGGGCATGTCCCCCTGCAGGCGAATTTCGGAGGGGAAAGAAATAAGATCCCAATCCCAAACAACGCCAACAAGCAAAAAATAATGAAACATCGTCCCCATAACATTTTTTTAAAAATTGGTTTTGAATGCTCCTCCGGTAGAGGGACACGCCCGACTTCAGGCCAGCAGAAGCCGTCGCAGCGTCCACGGCACCTGGAGAGCATCGCCGCGCGCGAGCCTGCGATCCTCGAGCGTTAGCGTCGCTGGTCGACTCTGCCCTTACGTCCGGCGTGCCCCTCTACAGGAGGAGCATTCAAACATTGTAAAACATAATATGGGGACGTTTTTGTTACTACTACTATTAGGACTACTACTACTACTACTACTACTACTGCTACTGCTACTGCTACTGCTACTGCTACTGCTACTGCTACTGCTACTGCTACTGCTACTACTACTACTCCTACCACTACTACTACTACTACTACTGCTGCTGCTGCTACTACCTACTACTACTACTACTACTACTACTACTACTACTACTTCTACTACTACTACTACTACTACTACTACTACTACTACTACTACTACTACTACTACTACTACTACTACTACTACTACTACTACTACTACTACTACTACTACTACTAATACTACTACTACTACTACTGCTACTACTACTACTACTACTACTACTACTACTACTACTACTACTACTACTACTACTACTACTACTACTACTACTACTACTACTACTACTACTACTACTACT